GGACCGATTGAGTAAGTACGCGCGTTTTCTCCCTTGCAAGTACCACTCCACGACTTTCGAGCTGGCACGCCTTTTGCACACTGGTTGGATTTGTGGCCACGGTGTACCAGAAGACATTGTCAGCAACCGCGACACTCGTTTCATGTCGGCGTTTTGGACTGCTCTCATGCAGGAGTCCGGCACAACAATGAAACCGAGTTCGGCTCGACATCCTCAGACAGACGGGCAGACGGAGCGGGCACATCAAACCGCTCAAATGATGCTTCGTACGCTCATCCGTCCGGACCAGAAAGATTGGGTTGACCGCCTCCCCAACATCGAGTTCGGCTACAACACTTCGGTGCATCCGGTGATCGGTGTGACTCCATTCGAGTTGCACCACGGTGGATGGAAAGGCCGGATCTTCGCCGACCTTCTCCTCCCTCGACCAGCCGACATTGACGCTGCCTACTCTCCCGCTTCCGCCCGGAAGTACAGGGAATTGCTGACTCAAGCCCGCGCAAATATGCAAAAGGCTCAAGTCCGCATGCAGCAACAAGCCAACAGGCGTCGCGTACCATGTCCCATCCGCGCCGGCGATCTGGTTTGGGTCTCCACGGAAGAGTTTGCACTGGAACATGATGTTTCACGCAAACTGCTTCCCAAGTGGTTTGGACCTTGGTCTGTAACAGCAGCCGCGGGCGATGAGCCCGATGGCCCTTCATTTGTGATCAACATTCCAGAGCATCTGACGGTCCATGCGGTCTTCCACGCCTCGAAGCTGGCAACATACACGCCAGCCAAGAGCGACGACTTTCCGGACCGACGATCGCAGGACCCTCCTTCAAGCCGCGGCAGGACCCTCGAAGATGGCCATCAGGAAGTTGACCGCGTCATCTCCGATCGCAAGTACGGCAGCAAGCCGCGGCAGTACAAAGTCACATTCAAAGCATGCGATCGCGACGACACTCGTTGGATTTCGGGCGCAGATTTGAAAGCATCCGCACCGCTGATCTACGCGCATTATCAAAAGCGGAGGTTAGCTCAGGAAGCTTCACGACCAGCCCCTCCCACCCGGACTGTGGTCCCTCCCTCAGACAGGCAGCTTCGCCCTCGCATGTAAGCTCGGTTCTTCAAGGAGGGGGGGGTGTGACATACTGCGTAGCCACACGGGCCCTGCAGGGCCCGTCCCGGACATTCAGCCTAAAAGCCTAAAACTTAGGGCTTACAGGCCCCGGTCGTTTCAGCCTGAAAGCTGAAAAACGAGGGCCTGCAGGCCCTACCCCGTTTCAGCCTATTTCTGGGTCTTTTCAGACCCAGAGTTTTCAGCCTGAAACGGAGGGCCATTTTCAGGCCCTCGTTGTTTCGACCTACCCCTAAGACTCAGGCACATAAACAGGGATGCGGAACAGGCCAAGAATAGCCTGTTCCTGACGTGCTCGAGCAGGAGCTGCAGCTGCAGCCCCTGCCTGCCTTCGGCATTGGCAAGAGCAGCCTCCTGGACTGCTCGCACAAGTCAGGAGGCACACCCGAGAAGTACATAGGACTGTCCTAGGCACTTCACAGGTAGGTAGTTCAGTAGGCAGGAGGTAGTCTTCAGGATTTTGGCCGCAGCACTCAGGAGCGCTGCAGTAGTCTTCAGCTCTAGGTGGTATTAGCGCTAGCTGTAGTCTTTGGCGCTGGGCGCCATAGCTGTAGCTGTAGTCTTCAGCGCTGGGCGCTGGTAGGTGGTAGATCGCAGAGTGGGAGAGAGACTGGCGGAGGCCAGTGATACTTACCTGTGGCGCCATCGCTCCAGCTCCATCTTCGTGGTACCTGCATCAAGGCGCCAACTTCACAGGTTAGTACTGGATACAGAGAGAGAGAGAG